CAGCCAGAAGTCCAGCTGGGTTTAGAAGGGGTCATGATACTAGGGGTATTGTAGCTGATGTTAGATGGATCTTAGCTGAAAGCAGGGAATACCAGAAGAATGTCTATCTGTGTTTCATTAATTATGCAAAGGTGTTTGACTGTGTGGATCATAACAAACTGTGGCTGACTCTGAGAAGAATGGGCAAATAATGTAGATTGTGAAAAATGTTGACTATACAATGTTGACTGGAATCTCAACAGAAGCTTAATTTGTATCTACCATCAAGACTGCAGCCTTCAATATGGATTGAGTCTCAATATCAAGAAGACAAAGATTCTCATCACTGGACCAATTGGCAGCATCAGGATGGATGGTGAAGAGACTGAGATTCTTCACAGCTTTCGTTTGCTTGGCTCCACAGTCAACACTCTCGGCAACAGCAGCCAGGAAATTAAAAGATGTATTACGATAGGAAAGTCTGCTGTTAGTAACCTCTCCAAAGTACTGAAGATCAATGGTGTCTCTCTGGAGAATAAGGTGCATCTGATACAGGCCGTGGTCTTTGCTATCACTTGTTATGCATCAGAGAGTTGGACAATGGTGAAGGAGGATAAAAGGAGAATTGATGCCTTTGAGCTGTGGTGCTGGAGAGGAGTACTGAGGGTACCATAGACTACTAAGAAAACAAACAGATTCATTCTGGAGAGGGTTAAGGTGGGCTGCTCCTGGGAGGCAAAGATTCTGAGGCTTCGTCTGACGTACTTTGGACATGTTGTAAGGAGGGACGGGTCCTTGGCAAGGGACATCATGCTTGGGAGGGTAGAGGGACAGCGCAGGAGAGGAAGACCCTCTATGAGGTGGATTGATTCAGTCACTGGGGTAATCGGGATGGGTGTGTCGGAGACAGTGTGATTGGCATAGGACAGAGCAGAGTTTAGGGCTGTTGTATATAGGGTCGCTATGAGTCACAAGCAGCTTGATGACACATAACAACAACAAATAACTATCAGGATTTTAACTCTTCCAGACTTTCAGTCTAACTGGGTGACTACTGAACAAGAAAACTGACACCAAGGATAGGACCCTGAGTATGGTAAGAAGAAAGGAGGTTAGAGTAAAGCCTGACTCAAGGTCAACTCTCTCCAGTATGGTGCCAGAATCTTATACAGAAGAAAGTAATCACCATCAGAAGCTCATTAAGTCTGTTTACTAAGGACTTGTCATGCACTCTTGATTTAGAACCACCTCATACCTGATCCTCCAGTCCATTGTCAGAGGCAGTAAGTTGCACCAGAGGAGATGGCCCATCTTTCTCTCCTGTTGGATTCAAGCTGCCTTTTTGGTTGGCAGCTCAATTCCTTACCACTAAGCCACCAGATAGATAAAGCCTTGGAGGCTGAGAAATAGTTGCTACTACTTGCAACTCAGGGTATAAAGTGAAGTGCAGAAGAGACAAGGGAAATTTGCCTCATTGTCGGAGTATCAGTGGCAATCAAGCTTAGCAAATAATAAGACATATTGAAGCAATTTTGTGAACAGTGGGCATTGATCAAGGTGAGTGCTAGGGTAGTACAAAATCAAACTGGTTGTTGTTGACTTGATTATAAATTGATGACCTCATGTGTGCAGATTAGAACTGTTCCCTAGGGTTTTCTTGGTTCTAATATTTACAAAATCAGATTACCAGGCCTTTCTTCTGTGATGCCATGGAAGAAATTTGAACTACAGACCTTTATGTTAGAATTCAAACACAAATGAATAGCAGAAACCTCAGATGGCAAGATACAATCAGATAATTCTGATAGACTTAATATCAGCACCCATGATACACTTACTGGGGCTTGTTATTTACCTGGACAAATGCATGAGGAGACTCAATGTTCTGCATGGGGAGATGTGGTTAAGGTTCGGGGAGTTTTAGGTCATTACAGTTAAGGTTGTTCTATTTGTTCTCTTAGGATGGTGAGATTTTAGGAAGCATGAGCTTATATACATAATTTTATTTATTGTCTTCCAGTCATATTTGCTCTCTTCAAGTCCTTACATAAATAGTAAGGGTATTATATATATCTCCTTTACACTTTTTACCTCTTCTTATTTTAGAATCCAGCTTCAACTCAATTCAAACTTGAGTTATTGCCCTTGAGTCTGTTCTGAGTTATAGTCAACCTCTATCAGGTTTCTGAAGCTATAAATCACAACAAGAGATTGCCCATGTTTCTCTCTGAAATGGCTAGTAGATTATAAATACCAGAGAGACATTTGAATTAGCAACATAATTTGCTACAAACTATGCCCACAGAGGAAAGATGACATGCAATGACTATATATATAACTGATGTACTTCTGTTACCACACTGCAGATGCCAGTGGTTCCTTCTCAATCAGTGTACCTGCTCATCTTACTTTCAAGTTAGAATACTCGTAGACTTCCTACCCTGGCACCAGATCCAATAGTAAGTAACCCAGTCAAAATGAGCCTCTCTTTATCTTGAAATATGCACTTGTCCAGTTCAGTCTGATGGGATGAATTTACTACTGGGACTCATGTATATTTTCCATCAGAATGGAAAATGGTACTCACTGTTCTTAACGGGAAAAATTCTCCCAAATTTGTTTGCACTGCCTTTGAAATCAGGGATACCATTTTATTTCTCAGACTGAAGGGCAGAGGAGGAAAGAAAATGTGGCAGAAAGCATAAGATTTTCATTAATTCTAACAGTGAAAAAAGATGGCTAGTGTTGGTCCCCTAGATTTGGTTAATAATCATCTGTGGGCTGGAAGCTTCTTGTTTAAGTCAATTAGGACCTAGTGGGCATGCCTCTGTATTAAAAAATAGGTGGACTCTTGGCCACCTTTGGCCATCAGAGCTGGTGTTGATTGTGTTTGGGAAGAACATTGTTGTAAGTGGTATAGCACTGGTCTGTCAGTTTGCTGTTCTGAGATATCTTGGGGTTTCTGTGATACTGAACATTGTGACACTAGTGTGTCAGGTGCCATAGTGGTTACCCATGGTAGACAGGGTTTGGTAGAGCTCCCAGATTGGGACAAGCTTGGAAGCAGGATTGACATCTACTTCTTAAAGAGCTGGCCTTCAGACACTGTATGAACATTAGGGAAACAATGATAGTTATAGAACATGATTCAGATCTTTTGTTTATGGAGTTGCTATGAGTCATATTTGACTTGATGACAGCAACAACAACAGTGTTGCTGTGTGTATATTCCTGTGACTAAATGGTAGGGCATCAGAATGTAAATAGAAGCCTTGGACAGTTATAATTGTGGAGTGATTTTTGTGTTCTATTTGTGATTTTGATGCTTGATGAGTCTGGGCAATTCAGAGATAATTCATGACCAGTATAACATTGCATTCATTGTTGCTCAATTTCAAAGATTTAATGCACAACAAAATTTAAGGTACACCAGCACACCCTTTATTTTATTAAATCCACAATTTTCTTCAGGATTCCAAACTAGCCATGCTGGAGATCTCAAGTGTATATAATAATACATTTGAACACAGACAATAATATAAAAGTTGTTACTACAGCAATTGGAATTTTTTATCAGTAAAAGTCTTAAATTTTATATTATCTTTAAGCTGCTTAATACAAAAGGTTAATATACTCTTATTTAAAGTGTAAGCTTAAAACTCACTCTAATAGGGAAACATTGTATAGCTAATGATGTTATGCTAAGTCAATTGACCTTGTTTTGGCCAGGGTCCAGGCGAACCCTGAATTGTGTCTACCTGGAAAACCCCAACCACACCAAGAATAACATGAATTCTGGAAAGATTTTCAGTTACATTAAGTGTCTATACCACTCAATACACAACATTTCTAATGTGTTTGTGTGATAGGGTGGTGGTGGGGCCCAAACCAAACTAATGCCATTTCTCACTTTCCTAGTCCCTTAACTAACAAGTTATCCCTGGCTCTGAGGTCTTCCCTATCATTCCAAACTTGGACTCACGGAAGCAAATCTCATATCTTCATATGATAATGGTCTCCAGTGACAAAATAACATTTCTTTCTCTTTTTTGCTTATTCTTCCCCATTTCTGCTGTTCTCCTGAGGAGCCCTGGTGGTGCACTGTTGCCATGCTAGTTTTTTTAAATTTTTTAAAAAAATGTATTATGCTTTTATTCTAGGGTATTGCAGAGTCCCCTTTACTTCTTCACGTACTGTATTACGAAGACAGGTAACTCTTCAGGTCACCTGAAAGACTCAGGCTGTGAGTGCTAGACTCTGTTCTTTCTAGAAGTGGCCCTTCTAGATTCAACTTTTCCTCTGCCCTCTTTTTTCCTCCAACTAGGTTGCTATGTCACTTAACAAGACTATTGCTCTCCTGCTGTGTAAAACCCCCATCCACCCAGATTGAGAACTGGCTGGGGAGGAAGTGGAAGGAAGGGTTTAGGGACACAGCACGGGATCAAGAATGAAAGCAAAGATAAACATTTCAAAACTTGACCCCAAAGTTACATGCTTGAAAGATCTGACTACTTCATAACGAACAGACAAAGGGCTTCAGGCATCCACCACTATCTTAATATGTGACTAAGAGAATGTGTGACAGAACAAATTGTATTCAAGAGTTGGGGAGAAAGCTTGCTCATCTCAGTGTTCAAAACTGCCTCTTTTTTTAAATTTTATTTTATGAATTTTAATGAATATTCACAGAGATTTTAGATTTCCATTCATTCATTGTTGCACTTTTCTCCCTGCCCAGCCCTCCCCCCCCACACACACACCCCTCAGTTCGCTCCTCTCTTTGAAAAGTAAAAGAAAAATTCTTTCTTTGGTATACAATCCCCCCCACACCCCTCCCACCGCCCCAAGTACACTCCAAACTGCCTCTTAAGAGGATCCCTCCCTCAGAACCCCCTGGGTTGCTCACTTCCCAACCTTCAAGAATTAATACCTGGCACAGCAAATGTTCTCCACAACCTGAACCCAGTACGACAGGCCTATGTCTTTTCTGTTTAGTCCACGTTAAATATTTGATTATCCTTCTAGTCAAAGGGTGTCCCTCCAGCAGCAGCTCTATGGTAACCATCACCCTCTTCCCCGTTTCCTGCTTCTGCTATGGAAGATGAGGGAAGGAGGTTGGAAGAGTCCATATCCCTCTCAGAGTCTCCATCCAGCTCAGCCACGACCTTCAAGAGATACAAAGCCTCAGAGTCAGCTTCATTTTGGAAAAGCCTCTTTTCAGCAAGTCTCTGCACTTTGGCTTTCATCTTGTCTTTCCCCTTTGACCTCAGCTTGATTTTCATGCCCTCTAGAAAATGATGGATGGCCTTTTCTTCACACCGCATTTGAAACAGCTGGAAGTTTCCATATCGCAAATGGAGCAACTGCTTGGCTCCTGGACTAAGCTCTTTGAGGAATTCTTTCTGAAAGTAATAATCCGCTTCCTCATACTGATCTGCATGAGCACAGAGGGTGGCAAGATAGGAGTAGATATTGGGTAGATTGCCATTGTGCTCCTCTGCCTTCTTTAAATGATCCACAGCTTGTTCTATGAGTCTCAATAAGCTCTCTTTGTCCCCATACTTTTCGCTCTGCAGCTTGATGACTTCTGCCCGGTAGCAGCACCCAAGGTAGTAATGCAGGTAGGCATTGTTAGGCATGCACTCTAACGCCTTCCCAAGCATTTCAATAGTTTTCTCTCTGGTACCTTTCTTTCTATAAAAGGACGCAGCACCTCGAAGTACATCTGTTGCACGTGTGGCTTTCCTCAAGGCGTCTTCAATTAAACTCTCCCCTTCCTCTTCTTTCCCCATGTCTTGAAGTCTCAGAGCCAGGAGGACTTTTGCATAGTTGTTGTCAGGATTCAGTTTAATGGCTTGTCTCAGAGAGTCAGTGGGGTTCTGAGAAGGTGGCCAGTTATCCAGACGGTAGCTCGCAATGGCCAGTCCAGAGATGAATTCTGGGTTGTCTGGTTTTTTCTCCAGGGCCTTCTCAAAACACACCTTAGCCCTTTCATTGAATTTTCCTCCATACTTTAACCGTGCCCACCCTTCCTCACAGTCTAGTATGGGACTCTCGATTCTATAGGGGCTGGAAAACTTCTTGCAGACTTGTTTCACCTTCTCTACATACGTCTGAGCTTCGGAGAGTCTGCCCATGTGATAGTAGACCCACGCATAGTTTCCCCAGGTAACCAGACTTCTAATTTCAGCTCGGTCAGCATGCTCTCGTCGGATTAACTCTTCTGCTTCCTGTAAGCATTCCAAGGCCTCCTTGTTTTGACCTCTGTGGTGTTTTATGAAGGCCAGTATGTTATAGGTCGTGGCTTTGAATTCGCTGTTTTGGAACTCAATCTGATTGCACACTCTGTCTTCAAAATCATCCAAGGAATTTTCTCCTGCTAACAAATTCCAGGTGAAGTGACATTTTAGTTGCCGTAGACTGCTCTCCAAGGACTTCTTGGTGATCTCACTAAAGGGAAAAACAGAGAGATGGGCATTTTGAGATAGCGCATAGTTTCATCTAGTAAGATATGTGGATTTCAAATACAGACTTCTAAAGAGTATCAACCCAAATTTTAAAAAAAGAATAGACTTTCATCCCTTACCCCCCAGTATATTCTGCCTAAGTGTCAAATGCTTGATAAAGCAGGACTTTCACGACTGTGGAACAAAAGGACTGGGAAGGGCAATGAGCTGTGAGTGTCTCTAGAGCTGAGGCTACATGTCCCCGAATAAGGCTCTCTTTGTTTGGAGGACTGGCCCAGGGCTGTTTTTTTATGCTACCATGCAACAAAACTTTTATTAACGTTTTGAACAGGTTCAGTGATTACTGAAACTGGTAATTTCTAAACTTAAACTGAGAGAAAAGGCTATAGTGCAGAGTAATGCCATCATTACAGAGATTTTGGATTTCCATTCATTCATTGTTGCACTTTTCTCCCTGCCCAGCCCTCCTCCCCCTCTGCCCCCCTCCCCCCAGTTTGCTCCTCTCTTTGAAAATGTAAAAGAAAAATTCTCCTTGGTATACAATCCTCCCGCACCCCTCCCACCGCCCCAGGTACACTCCACTATACACCCTTAATTCTGGACTCTTGTGATAACTATAATACCCTATCATTCAGTGACTGGGATAATTGGGATGGGAGTGTCAGAGACGGTGCGATTGGCACAGGACGGAGCGGAGTTTAGGGCTGTTGTACATAGGGTCGCTATGAGTCGCAGGCGACTCGACGGCACACAACAACAACAACAACAATGTAACACTTTTAAATTATTCTCTCCCTCATCTGTTTCAATGCAGAGCTCTGGCGGCCTAGTTGGTAAAGACTTGCTCTGCCAAAGGCAGATCGTTCGAATACACCAGTTACTCCATGGGATAAAGATGGGCAATTGCTTCCTGTGTGATTTACAGCCTTGAAAACCTGCTGGAGGGTCAGTTATGAGTCAATTCTGACTTGATAGCACATAACAATAACAACATATATTCTTTTTTTTTTGGTGAGAAAAATGTATATTTAGAATTAGCCCTCTGGACTCAGTTTAGATGATCCCAATTTTTTTGGCAACATCCAAAGAATCATAGTCAGGAGCAAGTCGAACATAGGCCTTCTTCTCTCCATCAGGCCTAATCAAAGTGTTGACCATGGCCACATCAATGTCATAGAGCTTCTTTACAGCTTGTTTAATTTGGTGCTTATTGGCCTTGACATCCACACTGAACACAAGTGTGTTGTTATCTTCTATCTTCTTCATAGCTGACTCAGTGGTCAGGGGAAATTTGATGATGGCATAGTGGTCAAGCTTGTTTCTCCTGGAGGGCGCTCTTCCGAGGGTATTTGGGCTGCCGTCGGAGTCTCAGTGTCTTAGGTCACCAGAAGGTGGGTGATGTGCGGATCTTTTTTTTTTTTTTGGCTGTGGACGCCCTTCAGGACTGCCTTCTTGGCCTTTAATGCCTTTGCTTTGGCTTCAGTTTTGGGAGGGGCAGGGGTTTCCTTCTTGGCTTTCGGCTCCATCTTCGTAGAAAAGCACAACATATATTCTTAATTGATCTCATTAACCTATATAAATTTTTGGAGGTTTTATCAAATTAGAACATTTCATTATCTTTTTTAATGTGAATATTTTCCCCTTCTATCTAATTAAATCTTATTTTCTAGCCACCCTTAATTTTTACTTAGTTCCTCTGCTTTTCTATCTTTCTGGTTTCTGAATGGAGGTGTGGGTTCAAATCTCATTTTCAATGCTTAACTGTTTAACTCTTAGCTCTACACACTTTATTATTTTATTATTATTATTACTTTTTGTTCAGAATAAAAGGCAATTCTTTTGGCTCTTTTTCTTATCCCTACCTCTAAATAGGGAACTCCAGTGGTGTAGTTCATAGAGAGTTGTATTGATAAGACAAAACCTCTCTGGTTCAAATATGTCAGCAGCTCTGAGGGAAAAAGACAAGCAATATTCTCCCATGTAGCTCACAGCTTATAGCTTCCCCAAAACCCTAGAGGATCAGCTACAAGTCAGTTCTGACCCAACAGCAATGAATTTGAGTTTACTTCTAAACTGGGTGTCAGAAGAGACTTTGAACTGTGCTCTTGAACATAGAGAAGCCAAAGTATAATGAAAAAAAATTATGAAATAGGAGAGGTAAACAAAAGATGTCAAAAAGCAGTTCAAGAAGGGAAGTAAGTATTATAATGGAATGTGGAGAGACCTGGCATTGGCAAACCAAAAAGGTAAGAATTGTCTTGATATTTCTTAAGCTTAAAGAGCTGAAGAATAAATGTCTGCCTTGAGTTGCGATAGTGAGGATTTCTATGGGCACAATAGTGAACAATGCAGGATATAGTAAAGGAAGATAGCAGACATACACAGAGCCACTTTACCAAAAAGACTTCGTTAATGCTCATCTATTTCAGAGCATCACATATGATCAAGAATCAATGGTATTGAAGGAAGAAATCCCAGTTGCAATGAAGTGTTGTTGTGTATCTTGAAGTCAGAACCAACCCATAGCTGACCTTCCACTGGATTTTCAGAAGCAATGAATCACACAGGAGAAGACTGTCCGTCTTTCTCCTCTAGAGCAGCTGGAGGATTTGAACTAAGTGCCTTTGGGTTGGCAGCACAACTCCTTACCACCAAGCCACCAGCTTTCTTGTCATATTAATGACATTGTTGGATAATTCCCCCATTTGTTGGGTTACCTTTTTAAATTTTTTGTAAGGGCTCAAGTATGGGTGTCTCTTTCAGTCAGTTGGCCAGATAAACTGGCAGTGCTTTTGTTTGTTTCTCACCAGTGAAAAACAAGGTTCCAGGAACTGACAGACTCCTAACTTAAGTCTGCCGACAAACAAGTGCATTCATGGAAATGCCTATTCATCTCAGCCAAGGAACTGGAAAGACAATTAACGCACCAACGGACTGGAAGAAATACATATTTGTGTCCACTCAAAAAATAAAAAAAAGGTGATCCAATGAATGAAGATATCATCCAAAAATATTATTACTATCACAAGCAAGAAAACTTTGCTGAAGATCATGAAAAAGTGTTTGGAGCAGTACAATGACAGAAAGCTACCAGAAATTCAAACTCAATTCAGAAGAGAATGTGGCATGAGGGGTACATCATTGCTAATAACATCTTGGATTTTGGCTAAGATCAGAAAATACCAGAAAGAGGTTTACTTGTGTTTTATTAACTATGCAAAAGCATTCAACTGGGTGGATCAAAGCAGATTACGGATAACATTGCAGTAAGTGGCAATTCCAGGACTTTTCCCAGAACTACCAAACAATGGTATTTTCAAATTAACTCATGTGCATGGAAAAACTGGGACAATGAATAAGGAATATAAGGATATTCCTTATTCATTAAGGATATTCCTTATTCATTGTCCCAGTTTCTGACATCTGAGCTTCATCCTTGGACAAATGCTGCTGCTTTGATCATCTCTATTTTTCAAAGGGGTGTATCCCTCCCTTGGTGTTACTGTCCACTTTAAAGTCTCGCCCACTGTTTGACTGAAAGTTGAGCCACATGGATGGGTGAGTTCATTTCCAGGCTTGAAGAGCGACTAAGGGACCCACCAGTCTCTAGCAGGTAAGCAAGCCTGATCTTTTGAAATGTCTTTTGGTTTTGTTTCACATTTTTCTCCTACTCTATGCAAAACCTTCTATAATGATCTGTTTTAGAGTGATCAATGGTAGGAGCTGGGCACCACCTAGGTCTCTTGGTCTCAGGATTGTGGAGATAGTTTTCCTTAGCCTTTTGGATTAATTGTTCCTGCATGTCTTTGATTTCCTTCACTGCAGGTAGAAGAAACAAGTAGAAGGTCTCTCACAAGCTTTAAAGGCCCCATTTATCACACATCAAAGTAGAATGCAGAACACTGTCTTTCTCGGCTATGTTTTACTACTTGACCTTGAAGTTCCCTACAACTGTGGTCCTGAGTTCCCAGACAGTGATTACAGGGCAGTTTTAGGTTTTGGAGGGGACTTGGGAATCCTAGAGATGGAGGACATATGTTTCTAAGCACTCCATCTCCAATTCACACTTCCAACAGTCAGTGGAATTTTGAGGTTAAAACACTTCTGTTAGTTTGCTTGTTCTAATGCCAATCTGACATAAATGAGCACTTTAAAGATAAAATCCACCATAGCATATGACTAAGGCTACTGGGCTGAGTGCATCTTTAATGACATCTGCTGAAGAGAAAGACTTGCTTAAATATTCATTTTTTTCAGAATTCACTAACTTAATCCTTTCAATTAAGAAACAAAAGAAGGGTAGCCAAGAAGAGCAACTGGCCCCATCCACCTGTAAAGGAGTCACATCCCTGATTCTATTGAATATATTTCTTTCTCTGCTCCCGTTTCCTGTTTAATCCCCCCTCTCCCACACCAGCTCTCAGCTCTTGCCTGTGAGCACCTCCAGAGATGCCCTTAGGTTGCTGGACTCAGTGAGGCAGAGACTGGTTTAGGAAGAAAAATGCCAGCAACTGAATACACAGCTTTATAGCATACAGAGAATCACAGTACGGTCATAAACGAACATTAAAACCGAGCACTTCAGGAAATGGCCCTGAGTGGGAGGTGCTGTTTAGGATCTGCCTTGACAGCAAGGCTGAATAAACAGTTAACGAGGAGGAGGAGGAGGAGGAGGAGGAGAATCTTTACCTCATGACGGCTGTGAGCTTCGCTCTGCTCTGGAAGACTGAACAGGCTGCTGTGCTCTCCAAGAAGCCTTCCTCTTCTGCCTCAGATAAATTCTGAACAGCCCTATATAGGGAGGCATTGTTTCCCTGAAAGTGACTGTACACAACGGAAAACGAAACCAGAAAGTGAAACTGATAAGGTAGTCTAGATTGTTGCCTGAAGGAAAACGAATCCTCTCAGGAGGATCAGGAGGACTTCAGCTCCCCCCCTGTGAGTCACAGAAACTTCCTGTTTGTGGATTGTGTTGGTGTCAGG